AGAAGCCAATATCCTCGACCAAAATTGCAATCGTTCAACTTCCAGCGAAGCTAGCCGAGTCAATCTATTGCCAACTCTTTGCCCAATCAGAATTTTTCCCCAAAGATATCCACAACATTTTATCTAGTCACCTCAATTTGGGTAGTTTCATGGCCCTACCGAAAAAGTCCCTCCTCAAGTTTGATCCACAAAAGGACACTACTCTGCCTACAAACTTTGCCATCCTCAGTGTTTGGAACACGAAAGAAGTGTTCAAGTTGCAAGTGAAGGGAGTGTCGAGCCTAACGTATGCATGTTGTGTGGGGGCTAGGGTTTTAGATGCATGGCTTCCATGGCTGCGATTGCCTTCGTTTCCCAACGTTTTTAAGCAGTTTGGGGTCCACTTCATGTACGGACTACACATGGAGGGTAAGAACGGAAAGTGGCTCATGAAGGCTTTGTGCAACTTTGTGCATAACATGGCTAGAGAAGACGATGGTTGTGCTGCTGTGGTGACTGAGGTGAGCCAGAGGGACCCAGTTAGAGAGGCAATCCCACATTGGAGAAAGTTGTCGTGGGAAGAAGATATGTGGTGCGTTAAGAAGCTTGCTGATCAAGCAAAGCAAGGAGAGAAGACGACGTCATCTGATGACGGCCAGTTTGATTGGATTAACACTCGATCTTCTTCATCGGTGGTTTTTGTTGACCCTCGTGACTTCTAGCATGCATATATATGTACTCATATCATATTGAGAAGGAAAAAAACTGTTCATAGTTATACTTGTATCTTCTACTTCTATAGCACATAAATGTCTCAAATTGCAAACTACTAATAGGGGAATCAGTCGAATACGGAATAATTGCTATAAGAGCAAGTCCACCCGTTTTGTCATGGCAAGGGGCAGAGGTAGGATAGGGTAGTTACCATTCACTTTTAATAGTAAATGACTTAAAACAAGCCTATTCTACCCATGCATGCAAGAATTGTCATGGCAGTTAGAGTTCACATTTTAGTTTATAACAATATAGAGGTGTACAGATGGTCGAGACAACGCAAACCGGTACCGTTTAAAGTATCCTAGCACAAAATTGAAAAATGCTACGATGAATGATCTGCAATCATGAAATTTGTAGCAACCAATGATGTACGTACGTACTCTTCTGTAATCTTTAATAGTGACTGCATCCAAGTCAATCTCAGTTGTACATTGAACACCTGCAATGAACATTATTCAAAAGTAGTGTTCAATGAGAAGGAAATAAGGAAAGACAAACTGGATTCAGTGATAATCAAAATATAGAACTTTGCAATTAGGGAGACTTTGGATGCGTAGCCACCAATATTTCCTAATTGAAACCTTATTGATTTTTAGTTTTTTTATCAAAGTCCTCTGATTTTGTACACCTCAACATATTAATATTAATATATTTTCATATAAGCAGTTATGTTTAACACTTTACAAAATTTAAAATCCCACATTTAGTGGGATATAAATTACAAGAAACATCCTTTAATTAATAAGTTTTTTTTTACCTTAACAAAATGCCAACTTAAAAAATGAAAAATATTTCAAAATATTTTGATTGGACAATATAAAATTTTCAAGATATCAAACGAATGTACCCATACACACACACACACACACGCACGCACACGTAGGCTTCAAACAAACGTACCCTTTCATATAACAAATAGGTATATTCAAGAATGGATACATTTAAAACTAAAAAATTATATGGATTTGTACATTTAAAACTAAAAAATTAAAATATTTCTATATAAAATTAATGAATACAAACTTATTTTAAATTTTATTTTGTATAAATTGAAAATAAATTAGGAGATTAATGAAAGTGTGAATATTAAAATCCTAAATTAATTAATAATTTTTATTTAAAAATTTATGTAACTGGCATGTAAATAAATTGTTAAATTTTATACTAAAAAATGATGTAAAAAATATATATAAATTCATTATTAAATTAATGTCAAAAACTTCAATCAAAATTTAAAAACTAATAAAATGACAGAGGACCAAATACAAATTTCTTTTTCTTGCAATAATTATCTCCAATATGGGAAACTTGGAAAGAAAAAAAATAGGTGCATGTTACTATTCATAAAAAATCAAGGAAAGCAGGAACATTCTACAAGTCACATCACTATAAGATACTCAGAAATGAATAATTTGAAATACCAAAAGCCAACTTGCTTACACATATGCTACTGCAAATGTGGTCCCAGAATCTTTGAGGAACTAAAGCTGGCTACTTTGACACTTGTGAGGGCAGGGCATTGGCATTGGAGCCTTAAGCACCCATGTAACCACCTTCCGAGCATTAATTTCCGAACATAATTCGCTACTATAGGAGTTAGAATTTTCTAGTCAAAACTCTTCGAGTCTGCCATTATCGTCTAGCGATTCAAGACATTTCTCTTTTAAGGAAGCATCAGGGAATTTGACTTCAGGGTAGGGTAGTATGAAAGGAGGTTGATTGTGGTTTATTAAGAAGTCTGGAGTTGATTCTTTCTAGGTTGATTCACAAAGTTTTGTGCTTATTATCAAAATCAAACATATTATAAAGGTTTTTTTTAGTTAAAATGGTCCCTGGTATTTATATAAATTCTTACTTTGGTCACTGAGATTTAAAATCAATAGAAGTAGTCCCTAAGTTTGTTCACCATCAATCATTTTGATCATTCCATGAAAAATTATGTTAAATAAGGATCAAAATGACAAAAATACCCTCAATTTAATGAACAATGGACCAAATGATTTGACAAAATTTGAGGGTATTTTTGTCATTTTGGTCCTTATTTAACATAATTTTTCATGAAATGACCAAAATGATTGATGATGGACAAATTCAGGGACAACTTTTATTGAATTCAAAATTCAGGGATCAAAGTAATGAGTTATACAAATCTCAAAGACTATTTTGGCTAAAAAGCCTATTATAAATTGCTACAAAAGAAAAACAAAACTTAGGTTATGTAGTCAATCATCTGTAGTAAATAGATAGACATTTGAAATACTAGAACTAATTGACTAAACGAATCGTTTGTCTATTTGCTTCATATTGTCTAAAAAAAAATCTTAGTTTAAATTGATTCTTTACATAGTGATTTATAATATGACTTATTCTAATCATAATCTTGAGTAGCCAAATATTCTCACTTTCTCTGCTACTTTAGTTAAATTAAAAAAAAAATTAAAAAAAAAAAAAAAAACAACAACTTTTTTATATTTTATTTTATGATTCTTACATAATTTCATCAGAAGTCCCTTTAAAGGGTCGGAGACTTTTTCATCCCCTCTTTCCAAAGGGTACCAAAGATTGATTTATGCTATAATGGCACGCTAATGATCGGTGTTAAAAGGTTAAAGGTGCATCAATAAAATCTTAAGTCAGTGGACCTAATTTTAGAGGTATAGCTGGCAGTTCTACAAAATACAAAATATGGGAAAAGTATGTTCGCCATATCATTTTTCTAGGATCTTAGGAATCTTATGATCGTGATCGTTTATCGTAAATCGTGCAGTCAGTTTTCGTTAGGTACAATTTATATTTAATTTTAAATTTTAAATTTTGAAATAATTTATGACTGCACTACGTACGATAAATGATCATGATCACAGGATCCCTAGGAAAAGGATCAAAATATGGTCCTTAATTAGAATTAAAACTCTTAGTAAAAAACACACCGAAAAACTATTAGTTTTATACAAAAGTATTTCAAAGAGACTGTCATCTATTAAACTCGTTATACCTAATTGATTTTTAATTGCGTTCGAAGGGTTTTTCTTTAAAGTGTAATGCGTCAGTGACTTGGATATATATAAAAATAAATAAATTAAAAAAAAATTGAAAAAAAATAAAATAAATAACCCTAAAATTGTTGCCAAGAAGGAACCTCTTACTGCTTCTTTACATTAGTATTGTATTATCGTCCATATGCATTTTTTCCAAACAAGGCAATCTGGTTTAAGGTTACTCTAATGTCTCTAAACAATTCGTGGGATGAGTAGTCATTATCTACCCAAGAATTTCAAAATAGACGCTTTCCATTTGTTGAGAGGTATCCCACAATTTCATCCTAGTCAGGAGACAAATAAATTTATCATCGGTATTAGAGGAGAACAAAATACTCAGGGTGAGAAGTATCCACCGAATCCGACATAATCATAGAACCATTTAGTTATTGATGCAATAATCTATAGGCTCTCAATTGCGTGAATACGGACTTTATATTCATATACTTATGGGGCTACGTGCCTCCCATTCATGTTGGACGAGAAATAAATATCGAGGGATTGAGGTCCAATTTTTTGCTATAAAATGAGAGTTAAGAGGGACTGCATGTCCTGATCTCATATAATTAAATTCATCATCATAATATGATATAATGATCATATATTAATTAATGTGTAATTATGGAATAATGGTGTAACAATTCATGTGCAAGCCAGAGTTTCCAAGGAATAGCATGCATGACCATGTGAAATACTAGATCTTCCACACACATCATCTCTTTGTTGGCTCTTTAATCAATTCATCTTCTTTGTGGTAATAGAGTGGTGTAACAACATAAAATAAGCACTTCGTGATGCTTCACCCAAAGCAGAGGTGCTGCTTAAGTTTTTTTTAGCTTACAAAATATCGCATTCTCACAAGTTACCCAAATTTATCTACTGACTATTTTTATGAGTAAACTGTCGATTTTCCCCTAAACTTTCACTTAGCTTTCAGTTTCCCCCTTAAACTTTTCAATTGGAAAATTAAGGACTCAAACTATTTTTTTTTTTGCCTGATTCACCCCCTGTTAGTTTTTCATTCATTCCATCCAAAAATATAGTTCAAGTCCTTGATTTTCCCATTAAAAAGTTTAGGAGGAAAATCGAAAGCTAAGTGAAAGTTCAGCGAGAAAATCAGCAGTTTAACTTTTCTAAACCCTTCGTTCTTTTGATAATATAATGGCTTCACCTGCAAGCACACAGACGGACCAAAAACAAGTCGAATTGAACAATGCATCTCATATTATGTAAAACTGTGCCATAAGAATTCAAGCATAAACATTTACTATGTAATTTCTTCTATACCACAGCAAATGTTATTACTACGACAACTTTATACCTTTTCTACAGCTATGTAATGGAAATTTTTAATAGAAACAAACATAAATACTAACGGGTTACATCTGATTTCAGGTTTTCGATTTCCCAAGCAGCAGAGACGTATTGAGATATCACTACCTAGAAGGTCAAGTACAGATTAATTCATCAGTTGATGTTTATACTCGACGTTAAACTGTCCTTGGCTACATGCCTGTATTTAACAGTGACGTTACTTCATTGCCAATAACAAGTTACAAACTTACAATAAACTATGACTTCCCCTTCGTATCAAACTTGCAGATTGCAAGGCGTCTGGCAATGAGCACAGCAGAACTTGTTTGGTACTCACATTGTCGAAGCTTTAGCAAAACTTGAAAATCTGGAGAACTCATTTTCTAGGAGAGCCTGCGGATTCCCTTGTTCAACCTACACAGGAGCAGAGAACAAAGTAAAAATATGTGTCGAGACTTGAGTAGGCAATGAAGGTAAATAGAGCTTTAGCCAGCCCACTACTGCAACGGTAGATGACGCCTCAAGGAATATGATGAGATTGACATTCAATTAGCATTTTGTTAAAACTAATTTTAAAATTGGTGATGTGGTCTACATCTAGAAAGGAATAATCAAATGGTGAAAAGGGTATTAAGTCGTGTCCAGAAAGTTCACAACTGAATTGTGGATTCTATTCCTATATTAAATGAACTGGTGTTGCGCATTGAATTGTGGATTCTCGCCAACATTAAACGAAGGAACCGGTGTTGCGCATTGACTTGTGGGTTCATGTGACTGTTGTGTAAATTGGTTTAAGGATCACGAGTGTTCAGAGTATGACTAATCACTTGTCGAACAAGACTCTGTGTAAGTAATGAAAATAGCAAGATGGAAGACACAATAAGGGATGCATTCACTGTAAACAACTTTATTTCATGACTGAAATAATAGACGTCAATTAGTAACCATTAAAATATGACTGTGGGCAAACACATACGCACATATACACAAAGATAAGAATGTGACATACCAGCATACCATGGTCAAGGACCAGGACCTTGTCCATATTCAAGACAGTGGAAATACGGTGAGCAATTGTGATAACTGTCATTCCTCTGCATTCACTGGATACGGTTTTTTGTAATATGGATGCTGTTTGAGTGTCAACATTAGCGGTGCATTCATCCAAACACAGGACCTGAAAATTTAACATTATTAGTCTTTATATGTGATGTACACTTGATTATTTCAAATCTAAGGTAAAAAAACGTCATTAATCAATTCAAATTGTAACTAATGAATCATGACCCTTTCTTTCACTTTGCATCAAGAAACTTATAGAAGTGGCTTTTACACTGTCACTACAATTTACCATATGTGTATTTCATTGTGCTGTTCCTGAAGTGTTTCGCACAGTCCACCAGCCAAATTAATAAAAAAGGGTCATCTTACAAGTCTTACCTTTGAAGACCTGAGAAGTGCACGTGCAAGGCAAAGAAGCTGCCGTTGCCCAACAGAAAACGACATCCTAGATTCCTTTAGGTGAATATCTAGCCCCCCTGCTGCTTCTACTTCCTCTTTAACATGGCATCTCTCCAAAGCCTTCCAAATGTTTATATCATCACACAGCCGGAATGGATCAAGGTTGTCCCTACAAATTTTGAACAAAGGGCGTGCAAACTGACTAATTGTAGAGAGTAATTGATGTGATTAAAAAGTTAACATCGCGTGACTATATCATAAAGCAAAATACACCACAGCCACAATGACGTATCAATTGAGTACCTCAATGATCCTTCAAATAAAAATGGAGTCTGAGGAACAACAGAGAAATGTGCACGAAGATCCCTGATAGGAGCATTAGCTATGTTTATGGCATCCACAAGAATGCATCCTGTACATATTGGTGTGAGGCGGAAAAGGGCATTCAATACACTAGATTTTCCAGCTCCTGTCCTTCCAATGATACCGACCTGATTAACAATCAAGAAGAAATTTAAATGAGCAATCCAGCCAAAAAAACCTTTAGCATGAGACTGAGCATATGACCAACCTCCATCCCTCCTTCAATAGTAAAACTAACATCACGAAGTGCAGCTGGCAAGGACGGCTTATATCTCAAGGTGACATTGTGGAATTCAACCTGTCCTTGATAAGGCCAACTGGGATGTAAGGATTGGAATCCATCCATTTCTTCTTGCGGAACGTCCATATACTGTGAAGTGTAAAATCAGGTATAAGTAATTTGTCAGAATCAATTTAAGGCATATATCCTTCTTTGTACCTCAAGAGCTCTTTCAACAGAAACCATTTCCTTCTCTGTTTCAGTGAAACTTGTCAAAAAGCTTCCAAGTAATGAGACAACTGGAGCTGCATAAGACAGAGCCAATCCTACCTATAAAAGAATGCACATTCTTTAACACTATTTACTTTGACAATACATGCAAATAGATAAAAGACTTCAACTTTAACTAAACTCTCAAAAATAAAAATTCAAGTGTAAAAGGTAGAAGTTATAGATAGATGAAGGTCTAGAGAGCTTACCAACCCTGGAGTACTGAAATTGATTGGTAAACTTCCACGAGATCCAATAACAGCCATGATAGCAATAAACGAGATGATAAATGCAGCTAACAACTGCAAGAAATGAAATTCCAGAATGTTAGAGCAGCTAACTTTTTCTGGTTTACCATAGTTCCCCAGAACTTGAACTGTTAGGAAGTCGGCTCTAAGGAATAAAAGTTAAATTGGAAGGTTTCAATTACAAGATTAAAACCTTATAATCACCATTGTAATACTACGATAAAACTTGTTGACATTGCCGCATTTTCCAAAAGATTAAGCTGTTAGGATGTGGGCCTAAACTGTACAACCTTTCTCCTAAACTGTAAACCTTTTGCATGAAACTCTCATTCTAACCAGACAATGTTAAGCCTTATGACCTGATAATATAATCTTACAGGTAAGAAAACTTCTGTTTCGAAAGTTCACTTCACAGCTTAAATTGTGTCCCATATACTTAGATTTTGTTGTTCTAATGATGAATAAAGCTCCAGACTGCAAATGTATAGTAATAACCAAAGTTACGTAAAATGGTGGTTTCAAATTACTGAGATGTACCTGAAGACGAAGGGAAAGCCACAAACTTGCTGTTAACTCTGTGTATGAAGTTTGTTGATACAATTTGACCTGGTCAGTGAATCTGCCGAAAAAGAGGTCCTGTCCATTACCGGAACTGATTGAGTGCAATTCTCTATGAATATTACTATAAGCACAAATTATCACCATGACCAACAAGAATAAAATAACAAAAAAGCAAAGTTGGTAGTTACAATAGTATGAATCAAAATGAAAGAACAAACAACAGAAAGGTTGATTCATTCAAGCTTCTAAGTTTCATCACTCTGATGGTAACCATAGTTTTAATGATACAAAAAAGTATTTTCTGTTCAGTTTAGTTGGGCTTCGTTTTTTGTTTGGTTGGAGCGATCATAATGGACTTCTTGTACATCTTTTGTTCTACCAAATAAAATTCTTAAATAAATGATACTAAGCTATGAATCCAAGAAGTAAGAACACAATAATACTAAAATTGCCTAATTCTTGTGCACCTTATTCCGTTCTTCTAACTATACCCATTATGAGCCGTCTCAACATTTTATTTTTCCTAGACAGTCCCACAATTTTTAGGTTTTACCATTGAGTAACTACTTACAAGAAGTGGAACGCTTTGTCTACTAACAACAACAACAAAGCCTTATCCCACTAAGTGAGGTCGGTTAAATTATGTTCAAAACTTATCATCATGTCTATTAAGTATGTTCAAAATTTATCATCATGATCCATGCTCTTCTTCAACCTACGACAGGATAAACAAAATTACTTGTTTTGTTTTTTAAAAGGACTGGATAATGACAGCTATACGCTACTGATATTTTTCACACATTATTAATGAGACCAGTGCAACTAGGAGAAAATGACGCTACTACAGATGATAAGTATTCCCAATATACACCCATTTCAAAGTGGGAATAGGACACTTAAACTAGCAGTAATTTCCAAACTTAGTTCACCGTTTGAGGGCCAAGGTACAACTTTTACCTGCAGAAAAAGGACGAAATATATATTTTTCAACATTTTGGAAATTTTGAACTGCATGCTAAATTTAAGGCACATACAACTTATTTAGCATACAAAATGTTCACCTAGTTTCAACAACCCTAATTTCAGCACCTAATATTCTTGCACTTTAAAATTAATCAGATTTATAGCGGTGTTAGTGCATCTTTGTTAAGGCATGTCCGTCTATGCTTGTTAAAGGAATGCATTTCCTTTCCTTTGAGAGATTATATATTCTACTGCATGATGTCATAAGATAAATACTGGTATTTTCTCTCGGCAGCCAATTTTTTTTTTTTACAAATATCTACCTCAGACTTGAATGCCCGTATAGTTGATGATCCATCAAGTGTCTCTGAGAAGGATGTATAGATGGGAGATCGAGAAACACTGTCTAGCCTTCGCAATTCCCGTGAAGTTGATCTGTAGAAGCACTGTATAATATTTCACCAATGAGATTATTCTTTTTCTTTAATAAAATAAAAAATTCCAACCAATGTTAATACCATATGAAATGTAATATGCCATATTCTTAGATCAAATCACATTCTATTTGGATGGAAATATTTTATTTAATTAAAAAAATGAAAATATTGTACTTCATTTGGTTGACATGAAGGGAGAAAAAGAAAAATTTCTTACAAAAGTTAATTTCCATACCCTTAAAAAGGGGGAAACAATTGTTCCACAATCCTTGGTAAATTAATGTAAAATTAACTTTATGTCACTATCCTACAGATGCCCCGTCACAAAGAACATTACACTTCACATGAATTCAATTTCCCCCACCTAAATAATTTTGTAGGCAATGATGTTTCATACATTAATTAAATGTTCCTGAGGTTCTAAGTGGATTGAAAAGTTTACACCTGAATCCTGGCTCAGATGATTAAATGAATTAAAGGGTATGAAGAATACCTGAAGTTGGTTGTAGATGTACCAGAATGGGAATAACAAAAGCAAGAAGAAGACCTAAAGACATACATAAACCTTTAAAACAACATTTCAATGATGAGGATGGCCAAAGTATGGAATTCCAGAAGAATGTCTCACAAAAGTAGCTTTGGATACCTGAACATATGACAAAACTATTGCAATGCCCAGCAGGCCAACAAAATTGGCTAGGAGAATGTTAAGAATGAAGGGAAGAGAATCATCAATTGTATATAGATCTGAAGAAAACCTACAGCAAAAAAAAAAAAAAAGTGTCATATAATAGATTATATTTGATGAAACTATAAAAATATAGGGAAGAATTCTTATAAAACCTGTTTAGCATTCTTCCACCTGGTGTCTGATCGAAAAATTGCACAGGGGCATTGATAATCCTTTTCAGCAGTGTATCGTGCACCTTAACAGCAGCTCGTAAGCCACCAAATGCGAATGAGAAGGCCCTCACTAGTGTGAGAATTGAATTTACAATGCAAAAGATGCAAAGCATAACCTGCACTAGTGCAACAAAAACAATAAACATCTTAATAAGAAATTATATACATTTTCTTTTGCCATTGTTTGCAAAAATGTTCATACTAATAATAATAAAAGTTGACCATACAACATTGCGCTGTCTATAAGCTAATTTCATAATTTCAGGGAAAAAAAGATTAAAAGAGTTATATGCTTTATGGATTTCAGTACAGTATAAATCATATAACGACCTATCTATCTATATTAACATGAAAAAACTTGATATCTTGACGATCCAATTCTAAATACAGAATTGGGAGCTGCCATACGGTAAACCTTTGGCAAAAACCTTCTATTGTTGTTTTCCTGGAAGCTTCTATCATTTGAATAAGAGAACCAGAATCCAGCCAATCCTTTCGATTTGCCAAGTTAGATAAAAAATGGAAAATCATGCCATAGTATGGAAAACTGGGGAAGTTGTTTACCAGATAAAAGGATGTGGAATATTCTTTCTGACCTCTTCCTGTTGCATCAACCCAATTTGAGAGCCACAGATCATTCCCATTACGAGAAGCTTGCATTAAGACTGCTGAGAGGCATATTAAAACTGAAATCAACCAACCAGAAAATGTGGCATATTTCCTGCAATAATGATTAATATTAGTTAATGTAGATTGATATTGGAAGCCCCAACTATATCCACATCCACTACAAGATTTTTGTAATCTCTTACATGAAGTGAAATACTATATCTACAAATATAATAACTAAGAAATCATTAGAAAAATCAAGAGAATAAATAATGATTTTCAATTAAATGTAGTGTGAAATTGTAAACTTTTTTTTTACTCACTTGTAGATGGTAAGTTCTACTCTGCCCTCTTTTCGCGCCTCAACTTCAATAATCTCTTGTGTTCCATCTGAAGCAGGCACAGTTTCTTTTTCTAGGATGAGAGTTTGTTGGCTTTCCATAAGAGTATCTACGACACTGGACTCTTGTCTTTCATTTTGTAAACAAGTATCAAATTCATTCAGTGGAGAGAATGCTGAACACAAAGAAACTGGCAAATCAGCTGAGCTTCCAACCCATTTCACATGTCCCTTATCCATGACAACTATTCTATCAGCAGAAGATATTGCCTGTGCAGTAATTGAAAATAAATTGAATCATTATCCAAGGAACTCCTCAGCGAAATTATATTAATGGTTTTCTATGCCCTGAAGTTACTTTGTAGTGTCTTAAAAAGCAGACGAATAATGTGACAAAAACAAGTTCACCTACTGAAACAAAATAAATCTTCATAATAACTAGAAGTGTAAGACAAGCAATCATGTATCAAAAGTCATCAACTTACTAATGCAGGCAAGAAGAGAACAAACAAATCATATCAAAATCAAAGTCAATGCAAGGAAATTCATATACATAAAAAAAATTATAAAAACTAGTGTCTTGATGATCTGCTCAGCTCAGTATAACTAAAAAGCTCTGGAGAAACAGAGATAACCTGAACATTATGGGTACAAAGTACACGAGTCTGCTGGTTCATAAGTGGACCCAAAATGGCTTTATATAAAATACAGCGAGCAACTTGTGCATCAACTGCACTAAGGACGTCATCAAGAATAAACATATCAGAGCCATTATAAATAGCCCTGCAATCACACCAAGTTACAAATTTAATCAGACTCAAGGAAACAGAAAATAGAAGAATAGTGTTGGTGAGAGAGAGAGAGAGAGAGATGTAACCTTGCCAAAGCAATTCTAGCTCTCTGTCCACCTGACAAATTGATTCCCTTTTCTCCAATGTAAGCCATGTCACCTCCAACCATTAATGAAATATCGAGGTTTAGCGCACTTGCCTCTAAAGTGTCAGAGTATCTACAAACAAACAAAAAAATTCACAATAAGAAAAAAAATATATTGTACATGTAGAAGGGCCCTTTTTCTTTGAGAGAGGCCAAAAACATTAATTCTGTAAAGAGATCCCAAAATAAATAAATAAATCTATTCAAATGATATTTTATTTCTCAAAAAGAAGAAGCTAATTGAGACATCATACACAACAAAACTCAAAATTTTGGAATTACTAGCCTTTGAGAAGCTTGTAGATTTCAAAATGTATCGCAGACTTATTTGACATCATGACTTACGTCATAAGCCTAATATGCTACAAAAGAAACCCAATTTTTGTTGGCACCCTAGGCCCCAAAATATACAGGGTCAACCCTTTTCTTAATTCAATAATGATTTAGAAATGGGCCCCTTGAATTGGGAGTGGCTCAGGCAGGCCTGACATGCATCTATGATCTCTTTGTAACTGGCCTCATAGTTTCATACACAGGAGCAGGATATTAGTTGTGTTTCCAATAGAATTTGCATATTCAAGACATGAAATAAATTTTAAATGAAAAATTAGATTTGAACAGTGTAACATAGAGGAAGGGGCAGGGGAAGGAAGATATTAATATTATACAATTTTAGCTTTGGAAAATGAACCACACCTTCTGGGGTCGTAATGCTTTCCAAACAGTATGTTATCACGTATTGTTCCAGATAGAATCCAGGGGACCTACCATTCCAAAAAGCAAGCTTGAGATAATTATATTTTACAAGAGTGTAAGTACAGCAACCACTCTATAACTAATAAACAAACCTGTGGTACATATGCTATAGAACCACAGGAATACACTGATCCATGGACAAGTTGCATCTCCCCCAAAATTGAACTCAACAAAGATGATTTACCAGAACCGACCTGAGAATTCAATGAACAGACTGAATGGTAAAGCAGCAGATGTCAAATTAATTCTTCACAAAAAATATTCATATCCAATAGTCTAGTAGTAAATCAAAATTCATATATCTAGGTACAAAAGTAACAGTAGGGTAAAAATATGACAACTGACAGATACAGGATAACAATACTTCACTCTCCAAAACACTAACTTTTATTTCAGACCCTATTTGACATGATTTATCAGGATTTCATTTATATTGATTTATCAGGACATCTTTTATATAGCTATGAGGTTTGAGGTTTTACACGGCCTTTGTAGATATCTACTGTTACCAGAAGTATAAGTAACTGTTTGAAGTTTCTCGTTTATATAACATCAAATCAATGAAAGCGCACCAACTTCCAGAGGAATATACTGGCTAAATTATTTCCCATTCATAAACATTAAACAATTTAACAAATAAGCTGAGAATCTTCCGGTGTACAATAAATATTACAGACAAACCGTACTGGATATGAAGTGATAATGAGCAAATTTAAATCTTTTCCCACATATCTGACCTCTCCAATTACTGCAACAAAGGAACCCTTCGGAATAGCAAGAGTCACATGATTCAAAACCAAATTCAATTGCTCTTCATCGCTGCTTGACCATGAACAGCAGGAATCATGGAACACAACAGCCTTATCTTCATGAGTAAACTCAGATTGGTCATTTGAAATATATGATGAAGCAGAACCAGCTGTCTTTTCTAGTTTGGATTTGTGCTCAGAGCAAGACAGAAATCTGGTCAACCGCTTGAGAGATATGATGGCCTGGGATAGAGTAAGAGAATGTATGCATTTCAACCAATAATTACAAAAGTAAAAGAAATGCTTTACACCAAGACCCACGGAACAAGGCAAACTTACATCAATTAATCCATTAATGACCCATGGAAATGAATTTAGAGGGGATATCAAATTATTAAACAATGCAAGACAGGTGAAGACCTGCATTTGAGATTCATAGAGAGGTCAACTTTCTTGAAAATTACACCAATGCTATTAGGAAGTGCCTATGCAAACTAAAATCACAGGAAACAGTTAGTACCGTTGCAGCATCAAGTTGATGTCCCATCAATGTGAAAAGCCCAAATGTGAACAGAGAAAAAAGAGTTGGTGTTGTAGCCCAAAAAAATACACACCAGGCATCCAAGTACTTCCGTGTCTAGAAAATGTGAATAAATGAAGCATTATTCTATCCTGTTAACTGTTAACTCAAGCACTGGAAGATAAGATATCTGTATCAATTGCTTGTTCTTGGGTATGCTAATAACAGAAGTAGAGCCTTACAGTTAAGTGCATAACTTCTAATGATCTCGTCTCCATCAACCAGCTAGAAAACAGAAGCTCCCACCCATACATCTTCAAAGTGCGGATATATGTCAAAAGTTCTCCTGTCCTCCTTATCCTGCATAGACCATGTTACTGAATGAAAATATTGATTATTGAGAAAACATGACATCAGTACATCTTGTTTTGTTGATTCTGTACTTACTAATACTATAAAATAAATAAATAAATAACTATTCCTGAAAGAAAAAATTAAATCTTTAGTGCGGATAATTATCACCAGTATATATAGACATGAAATAAAAAATAAATAAATAACTGCCAGACAAAAGCAATTTAAATGAGCAGAGTAATAATTTTGATTAGAGAGCTATGCCACCTCATGATGGAAAATAACTTTTGGATCTAAATAAACTTTAATCGAGACTATAATCGTTTTTGGAATCTTCTAAATTCCCAGAGTAGAATACCCTCTACAGGAATACGTTTTAAGCAATTACATGGTTTTTGCTCGGTTATTTTTGGTTGTGTTTCCAATATTATATAAAGCCCGAATGTGGAAGCTGAACATTTTATCATTTAAATCTTAGCTGTCCACATAGGTATACTTATCCTCCCGTATCATTTCAATCTTAGCTGTCCAAATTATTATCTTAAGGAATGTGACTGATTAGTATCATAAGAAATGTACAATGCCCAGATCATGGAAAATCTGTACCAAAGAGAGGAATTCTTAGCCAGAATAGAAATATCAGTTGACGCTTTGTAAACTGAAACCTGGTTTAAAATTCAAACTCTTAATTCCTTTGCACTAAATGGAGCTATTTCAAACAGATACAGAACTCTCTCAAATTTCACGAATTCCCAGATGGAAAAGTTGGTGAATAAGTTGTTCAACTTAATGCACTGATGTTTAGAGGGTTAAGGCACCATCATGCATTATTTAGTGAATGTAACTTAATTCAGAACCGAACAAGATTAAATGCAATGCTCTTATTGAGTTCTGTTAGCTGATATGCATTGTTCTTGAGATGCTTATAGTTCAAGTATATACAGTTCCGCATCATTTTTGTGTCTCACGACACAATCAGTTCCAGCGCTACACATGACAGGAAGCATTAGTATTCCTTTTCCTTTTGTCAGGATTGAAATACATTGTTGTCGACTTAAGCTTTCAAGATCAACTGTAATACTAATATGCTTTCTATGGATGCAATCACTATGTTCAGACCAAGTGTAAATAGTAAGGTAAAAAAGTACATATACCTCTCATCCTTCTGCTGCATCATTTTCATTGTAGCACTTGCAATCAATGTAGATATCCATTTATTCACTACAAGAAAAGATATAGAGTTTCAATCAGCACAATATATATGTGTGTGTGTGTGTATATATATTCCCAAGTTCTCAACTTCACACACACAATCTCACAAGTCACAGTACACCCACCCTCCATTTATGGGTAAGGATGATTAATTAAACCACAGTATCAAAGACATAACAAGCCTAAGCTAAAATATCCTATTTGAATATGATTGCAAAGAATGCCCAAAGTAATCCATACAACCAACTCTTTACAAATTTATAGCTTTTTACACATTTCTAAGTAACTATTTGTATCACACTTTATTACTTTTTTTATGGAAAACTGAATTTGAATTTTCAGAAAACGTCATAAATGTTTGCATCACATCTTATAATAAATTTAATTAAATAAAATAAAAACCAGAACAAGTACGATCTGCTTTTCTTCAACTCCATGTAAAAAAATAGGATACTGAGAGGTACCTGGTATCAGTGCGATGGTAATTGCAACACCCGAAACAAATGCAAACTTGACTTGTGTATACAGAAGGAACAAAGCCACCCCAATTTGTAATGGCAAGCTGAAACATTCATGAGAATGGATAAGAAAACCATATGCTGAAGATCGCACAACCGATGCACTTAATGTGAGATGACAGTTAATGCACGAGGATAGAATGAGAGGTGAGAAACATATGGAGAGTTTTCTCTTATTGTCTTTAAATTTTTCTAGATACTATTATACCTTTATTATATTAGTTTCTTTTTCTTTTTATTTAATGTAAACAAGGGCATAAGTAGAAGTTTGTAAAATGTGGTTGATAAGGTGAGTTCTCTTAAATCACAGTATATCTTTACACTAAATTCAACATTAGAAACTACGGACAGCATGAAATAAACATGTTCTTTGATGCAAAGCAAAACCATTACCTCCACATATCATGGAAACTGTTACACAAGTTGACAGTACGATCAGAATCTACAGCCATGAATGTCTGGATTTCTCCCTCAGTAAATTGTGATCGTTCTGCTAGATTGATACTTAAGCACTGGCGAAAAAGAACAAACTTAAGACACAGCAACGGGAGTTTTTTACAGAAGATCAAATGCCTAATCAGTAAAAGCAGAGGAAAAAAGAAAAACCCACAGATGCATGCACATCAACTTTGCAAGATAACTATTTACTTCCAAGTTGCAATAATCCCAGAGTTCCAATAATACTAGTTGCAATAATCCTTCATCACCAAGACCAGAATAATATAACAAATAAATAAATGAAACCAAAAACCGTATTTTAAATTACTCAAAACTGCAACAGGAAGGTATATATGACATAACCATAGAAAAAGTTTGGAATTTTCAGAAATGTAACATTTCGTAGAAATCCCATACAAATCCTACATAACAATATCCTCAGGGTCATCCACAAAAAGATTATGTAATAGACAATACGTTATTTTAAATCGTATGTTACAATAAAATGGATATGGAAAAGATATACCTTCTGATAGATAATAGTAATGATACTAGATCGTAACTTTAACTTCAGTCTTGAAAGATGAAAAGTATATTGCGTATCCAAAACTGATCTGCAAAATTGGCAAATTTCTTCAAAAAGTTCTGTTAAATTAAGCATTGTTTTTTACGTTTACGGAAAATTAAGTACAGATTTGATATTATAATAAATAAAATCGGAAAGGACCAGAAATAAAAGGCTCCTTTGTTAGTGTTCAATCACAAATTTCAGAATATAAAACTTGGAGAGAAAAAAAAAAAAAAAAACAATTTAACAGGAAACAGCATGATGTTTATCGCTTTGATGGAACATAGCCCCAATGGACAAAATAGGCATTCAATAATAGTTGACAATGCGCAACCTAAGCTTTAAAGAAATACACCAACACTCTCTTGGACCCACAACAACAACAACAACAACAAAGCCTTTTCCCACTAAGTGGGTTCGGCTATGTGAATCCTAGAACGCCATTGCGCTCGGTTTTGTGTCATGTCCTCCGTTAGATCCAAGTACTCTAAGCCTTTTCTTAGGGTCTCTTCCAAAGTCTTCCTAGGTCTTCCTCTACCCCTTCGGCCCTGAACCTCTGTCCCGTAGTCACATCTTCGAACTAGAGCGTCAGTAGGCCTTCTTTGCATATGTCCAACCCACTCATTCCTAATCTTATCCTTTCTCGTGAGCCCACACTTAGTGTGGGCAATGGTTGTGAAATGCATTAACTGAGATAGACTTACTTGACAAACCTAAATAAAAGAATCGTAATGAATGTTTCTTTAGATTCAGAGGGCACGCAACAGATAGATATTTAAATGTAAAAAGTAACTGTAACAATGCTTAAAAATGAGAGACAAAAGAAGGGGGTGGAGATGGGGTAGAGAGGATGAGAGAAGACCATCTGATAAAAATAGGGGGACAACAAAACAATATTAATATTGTCAATAAAGTTCAACAATCAGAATAGTTACTTCAAAATAGATACGAGGCCCAAGCATATTGCAAGAACATAGCCATCAATATTCTTCGAACCTGGCAAAAGAAACAGAACAGTAACAAATTTCGTGAGTAGGCCATTAGTAATTTCACAATGAAGACATTAGTAAGTAACAATCAAGGAAACAATAAGGCCATCACATGCTAGCTTAAATGATAATTCCATGAACTAGGAAATACAATTGAATGTAAAAATCAAGAACTGCATTTGATAAGATGTGTGGTGACAGAAAGGTCATCAAATGAAAAATTAGATGGTGGCACTCTTAGAGGTCTCCTTTTGCCTTTTTTAACAAATTGAGGCCTTTTATTACTATGTTGGATAACAGATAAATTGTTACTACCGCTTTTGCTGATTTTGAGAACTAGTTGTTTTGCAGAAGATTATAATTAGTACGATTATAGAAACAGAAGTAAGCGCTCTACAGATGCTCTGGACCCTACTAGGGAGTAGCTCCTAGTCCTACACAATAGAACTGGCACTAAAGACAAACAAGGAATACTAATATCCATTGTAGCACCCCAACCTAAAATACTGTGATTTGGATAAGTGATAGGTTGATCTACCACATTTAAATAAGCAACTAGTTTTTTGTAGTACTGCAAAAATCCACTACACCTACAAAGTATTTTCCAGAAAGAAAAAAAATAAATAAACCAATGAAGTGATGGCATCAATGACAATGTTTTCCGTGACAAAAAGGAAACCATCAGTTTCTACTAAACCTTGTTGAAGGAAGCGAATCAGTTTATTGAGAAGGAGTGGTCCCGCAAAACCAACAGAGTCATTAAGTACCTGGAAAAGTTAAATTGTCATATTTTTGTCTCCCAATTTATAGTTAAGTTTTTAAATTATCTTTGCTATATGGACTAAATAACGAAATTTTTCTTAAGATCAGCCAAAACAAACAATAAATTAAAGTCATTGGCGAATTAGATAAAAAAAACTTCACAATAATAAGTTTTATATGAAGAAACTTCAAGGGCCCAATTAAAGGGAAAACAAAACCTCATATATCCACTCATCATTCTCTAATTAATTCTTTTAATTTGAAACTCCTTTGATGTTCTTCTCTCATTACAAGTGAGTAGGGTTTTTTGTTTATAAAGTCTAGTGTTTGAAGTGTTTTCCTCTCAGGCATAATAATATCAAGGGCTTATAAGTGAAAAGCCATAAAATCTTCGATAGGAAACCGTAATTTATTAATAATCAATTTAGCGACCAGAAAGCTACATGCAGAAGAACTCATCCTATCAAAAATTGATGTATCAACCGATACCCGAATTCAGACATTCCTGCAAACCATATTCCAAAGAGAATTGTCAAATTTATGAAGTTCCACTGACATACTTCTATCCCCTGGTAAAATCAAATTGGAGTTCTAATGTTCGTGAAAACTGAGTATAAAAGTACATACTACATAGAACTGGAGGAGTTAATACTTTAATAAATTCTCATTTCCAATAGAACTCAAAATTCCCACAAGACTCATGCTATGTGAACTTTGTGAAGCATTTAAGTCGTACACTGAGAAAATGATTATACTGTTCAAATGGCTCCCCAATATGGTTTTACAATGCAAGTCTTCTGTTTCACTTCCTTATTCATATCATAAGAACCAATTTCCAGAAACCCTGTAATTTAACTGCAGACATTATGTGGTTTCGGATGTAGACTTTTAATTTTCACCATCACTTAAACTGTTAAACAAAAGTATGAAGGAGAAATAAGTAAGAAAATGACTGTACAAATGACAAGGTGTGAAGGCACAGTTACAAAGAAAATAATTTCTAAGTAAAGCATTTTTTGTGAAATAGCTTATTACTATTGTTCTATCCCATTTGTTTTATTACACTGCATTCTCTCTATATAATGCTAAAGAAAAATTAAGATGAACTTAAAGAAGCGGCATATTCTTTAACAGAATTATTTCTAAAATTCATTTGTTTCTACATTTAATAATACTTTGAACTTTGAAGTACATAGTACGAAAACCATTAGCAGAACATAAGTACCTTCAACAAGCCCAAACGAATGTATGGCCATCCATATGCACAACATATTGCCCTAAACAGTGATGGATCAGGGGAACTGCTCTGTTGGGATTGCCAACAGCCAAACAATGTATCATGACAGGAACAGGGATTCATATCAGAAGGAAGGTGAAGCAAATCCTCAAAATCAATCTGCTTTGTGACCCCATGATTCATCACAGAAGTGATAGATCTAAATGTCAAAAGATCGAAATAGCCCTGAGTGTTTCCCTTTGACAATCAATACAAGATTGTAAGTATGAGCTAATGAACTTTATAGGAAAAGAAGACTAATAACAAACAGCATAAAAGAGGAGGTATCCCTTTCTCAACGGTTACAAATTAAACATTAAACAGCTATCAACTCATAGAAGTAAGCATTAATCAAGATTCAAGAATACATATACTTAAAGAATTAGTGCTTGGAGCATGTCAGCATCTACATTTGTACTTAACTGTAATGTAAAGTGGAACATGACAGCACCATAGGAAGCCAAAGGGTAAAATCAGATCCTTACATTTGCAGACTAAATCAAGAAAGTTATGGAATATAAGGGATAACATTAGGGCGTGGGGGTGGAAAACCTTTCTGAAATGCCTAACGATCACCATAAAGATGACTTATAAAATATACAAAAGAAAATCATACTATAACAGACATACAAATTCCCAATTCTCATGAATTTCCAAGATGATTTTTCAATAAGAAACACAGAACTTGTTAATAAAAATGGAAGAAATCCAGAAGTAGGATCACGAAAAACCCACGAGAGATAAAGACAATATTTCATGTTTAGAAAAATACGATGAAGCATATAAGAGTTTCCAGAAAGATGTAGTGTTACTATCTTTTTTTTGGTAACAGTAGTCTTACTAGTATCTCTTACACACCACTTGTTAGTTGTAGAGTAAATTTACCAAACAATAAAAGGATGGTACTATCACACAATTATATGTAATTGCACAGGAAAAGTAGCTGACAGCATGTAACTTACAGAATCATTAAGGCTGCCTTCCTCAACATCTGTGTCAGCTGAAAGTAGTGAATCTTCAACTGTACTGCAATATATGCAAGCAGGCAGGACAATTAAAGGGTATGGGTTTGGATAGGTCAAGGAAATTTGACAGGGATGGAAAGTTAAATCTAGGTGGACACATTATCAGTAAAAATCCTAGTGATTTGTGAAATAACATGCCCATTGCAATCTAGATTGAATTTAGAATATGGCATATTTGTAATTATAACTTTTCAGACATTATATGGGTTCTCTAGATGAGATTGCAGAGCGGCGGATGTGGAAGAGTTGTGAGGTACAGTATTTTTTGGATCATCTCTTTGAGCTTCTGTTTCTAATGTCTTAATGGGCACTAATGTGTCTGTCATCTTGTTAGACTCAAAGGCAGCTATCAGTTACTTTTTTTTTTCTTTCTTTCTAGTTTTGAGGAGATCTATTTCAGTTTTCTTTAGTTTGATATGTACTATAGACATGAAATTGTTGTCCATTACTTGAACGGTTTGATTTTATGCAATTATGGTTAATAAAAGTATTTTCTTTTTTAAAAACAATAAATTAGGGTAATCGAAATGTGTAGAGAGAGAGAGAGAGAGAGAGTTGGAGACACCTCAATGAAAGGAAACTTGCAAGTTTTACTTTCCAATACACACCAAGTCATACCCTGCGTTGCACTGATGAGTTACTTTTTACAAGGCCTAAACCCTATAATTTCAACTCCACTAGGTTGAACTATGGAGCATTGGGCTATATACCCATGGTCTTCTCCAAGGTTAGCATCATTTATGTAATTCAGCCAGTATACTATGAATTGCACACCATTTTCCATGTGATTGTTATCAGAAAGAAAGGGATTTAAAACAAGGGTTAAGTAGCTGACACCTTCTCTTGTAAGATGCCCGCTTTATTCTGATAATGTTAATCGATATACCAAAGATCGTGTCCAATGTAACAGTAACACATAATAAGACCTGTCAGAAAAGAAAAAAAAACTTGTAAATTATTAATTCCATTTCCTAAAGAATACTAATCCGACACCATTTCTAGAACCCAAGTATAAAATCAACCCCATATAGAAGAACAATCATAATCCCTATTCAATTTCTATGGAAATTTATGAGAACTAGTCTGATAGCATAATTAGAATAAAAATATCAAGTTGATTAACCAACATTTCTTATCAACTTAATCTTAAGTGGTAAAACCTTGGTGAGTTGGGTAGATGATATATTCAAATTACCAATTGAAAAAAATACTGGAAAATTTTCAAGACCAATTCCTTTATATAATCTCTTCTTTAAGGAATTAACTAGCTTTTTATAACCTACCATGGACTGTAATTATAGTAACAGAAAAACCACATTGGTCAACACAAAATGGTAATAATAAACTCCTAGAAAACAAATGTACCTTGAATGGAGGATATGCTGTGAGCAAATGAAGTATTCCCAGAAGAAGTTTTATAATCCACCAGAAACACAAGATCCGGTTGCAGAAAATTTGACAACCGTTGAAATACTTTGAGAACAGTATGATAAGTGTCTGCGTATTTTTTAACAATCAATAACTTAGTGAAAAGATGACAAATGATACGCATTTTTACATGTTACTACAATAAAAAGAATTCAACAAGAAACCAAATAAATAAATAAATCCTTACCCATGATGCAAATTGAGAACATCTGAAAAACCATTCATGATGTGCGACAAAGATGCCAAGCGCTTTCTTCAACAGTAATGCACCGTCTAAAAATGATATGCATACTCCAATGGCAGGAAGAAAGAGCAAGAAAAGCTTTTCCATGAAGTTCATCTGAGTAAAGTTTGTAAAGCCATCAGTATATGTGGGGAGGCTACCCAAAAGCAACATAAAAGCATTGATAACACCATAACACCAATAAACATTAGGTTCAGAACTGACTATGAAAAAAATGCAATAAGTGCACTTTTAATTATCCTTGTTGAGCGTAGCTTTGTGCGTGTGTGTCTGAATGTTATAGAATTCAAGGAAAACCTCCACTTAATAACCTTAAAATCAGGCAGTGCCATGCTATAAATTGGAGACTCTTATGGTAATTGCCTTACCTTAATTTCTTTCCTTTCTCTACATTTTCTTGTGAACAGAAAAAGAATTGAAACTTTAAGGCAGTGTTCTATAGCAATGCACGTAACACCATCATTCCTTTTTATTCTCAATAACCAAGAACAGCATATGTAACATAAAACCCACCCTCCAACTTCTTCTGCCAGTCCGTTGTGTTATTCCGAGCCCAACTATCATACAAACAGTCACTGCATTTGCACCAAAACCTAAAACAGTAGAGACTGTAAAGGACAAACAGTTAATAGTTGAATTAACAATTTATTTCTCTTCATATGGAAAAGAAATTCACACTACACACAAAAACCCAAAAGGATATGTGTTTCCGAAACACTTGGAAACTCCATTGACATCCCATACCTGCAGAACATGGCAGCAATTTACAATCAAAATTCAGTTAATTCACCCCTGTAAGAACTGAATTGAACTTCTCCACAAAAATTTCTAGGATTTCGAAAACCCAATCCGCCATTAGTTCTTGGCGCCAAACAGAGAAGACAGAATGAACAGGTAATTAGAAACATCAGCAGCAACAGAAACAGAGACCATTATTGTGTTCATTTATATTCCACAGTATTTTCTTACCTTCCAAACAGAGGACTGCGAAACGGAAAGAAGAGAAAAAAATATATATGCAACTTTACTAAATTCCAAGGTGATAGGGAAAACAAATACGAAAGAAAGAAAAGAAAAAAGAGGAAAATGAAGAGAGAGCGCGTACGTATGGAGAATTAGGGCAAATCAGGTTCATGAAATCCTCCATTTTCTGGATTGCAAAGTTTCGTTTGCAGGGAAAAGGAGTGAGCGAGCGGTTTCTTCAAGGCGAAAAGCTGCAGAGTATCACATACAAGCTCACCGCTTTTTTATTTGACTTAATTTGAGCTCATAACACTCTTCATAAAAATTTCACTTCTTGTAGGCGTGGGGCCGATGGCCATGAGAGATAAAAGAGAATCTGGTGTGTTTTTAGGTGGTCATTTCTCACTCAAAAAAACAACCGAGCTTTATTCTAGTAAGTACGCTCGGTTGTATGAACTTAAAGCATTATTGAGCTCGGTTTTTGTGATAAGTTTTCCGTTAGCTTCAAATACTTCATCTATTTTTTTATTGTTTCTGTCAGAATCTTCCTAATTTATCCTCTACTCCTTTTGCCTTGAGTTTCCGTATCATAATATCATCTTCTAATCAAAGTTTTGTGGGTCTTCTGTTCATGTGTCCAAATCATCTTAATCAATTTTCTCTCATCTTAACCTCAACTACGATCACCCCTACTTTACCTCAGATATCCTCGTTCTTAATTATATTCTTTCTCATGTGCCCACACATAAAGCATACTCATATCCAATACACTCATTTTTTGCACATGTTGCTTTTTGATTGCCTAACATTTTGTGCCATAAAACATTGCTGGTGACACGCTCGACCCTAATATTCTCCAAACACTAGGGTAAGCACGTGTTGGCCGACACCAAACTTTTGGTGTTCTTGGAGTTCCTTTTCTCACATCCTCAAGGAGCAAAGGAGAAGCAAAAAAGCAATCATCCAAAGAGCAAATTAGGTGATTTGAAAGCCCTCCACTTGGGTGAATCCCTTGTTACACAAGGATAAGCTTCAAGGGTAATGAAATTCAAACTCTCTTCTCTTTAATTTGTTAAAGAGTCTTTTAATTCACCATTCACTAGGCTTTGAAAGTCATGTGTTTTAGAATTATTTTTTTATGCATGCCTACTTTAAAGTGTTATTAGTTTGCTTATGTGTTCAAATGTTCTCACATGTTCTTAGCTAGGACAAATTTTTTTTCCTTCAAGTGGTATCAGGGCCTAGGTCTAGTGTATGTTTAATCGTTTTGGGTTTTGTGTTTTTCATGGTTTGTGATTTAAATGTTGTAAATTTTACAAGCTTTGTTCTTGCTTTTTGAATATAAATTTTGCTAGAAAATTTAGCATCTCAAATGTTGTAGATGTAGTTCATTTAAGCATGAATATTGGAACTAAAATTTGGTACCATGTATGTGGGGAAATTCGGCCAAATCCAAATGGTGGATTTTGAGTTCATGTTTGTCTTGTTAAAAGTGTTTTAAAGTGACATTAGGAACCCCTAAGTACCCTAGGATGTTAACCCTCTTTTGAGTAGTGTAAATTTTGAATTTTAATTGAGTGAAAACATTCATGGAGCTCTTATGAGTTTTCATGTGTGTTCTTCAATGTTCTTACTTTATTCTTGATGTTCATACCAAGAATAAAAGGTTTGGTGCTTTGATTCAAAGTGTTTGATGTTTTTCATGAAGTTTTGGTTTGTTATTGATTGGTGATGAATGATTCGTGTTTTTTTATTGTTTGATAATTCTATACCTTACCTACATCTTATAACTCATACCAATCAAACTATTCAACCATGCCAATCAACTATTCAACTCATACCTTTCACCTTTTCAACACTTTATAAAATTTTGAATTTTCATCAAGACCAACCCTCACTTTACACTATCTAAAACCGACCACCCCTTAGTGGGGGTACTTTTGGGGCTTTTATGCAATTACATAAAGTTTTGATACGTTTGTGTATTTGCACTTTGGCCCAAAAGATTAAGTCTTTACGTAAAGGCCCAAAATCACTAAAGGACAAATTGTTTTGCTCCTCTAATGAAGTTTTTGTAATTGTTGAAATTTTTTTGTTCTAGTTGTAATTATATGAAGTTGTGGACTGTTGTGGTTTTACAAAGTGACCCCAAAAGTTTATGCTTTTGCATTGTGGCCCAATAGTTGAGGTCGTTGCATTTTCGGCCCAAATTATGATGATAACAAAATGGTTTTGTCTCTTTAATAAGAATTGGATTTTCATTTCATTTAGTTCCCCTTAAATCAATTCTATGAATTTGAAAACCAATTGTTTAAGTTGCTTTCTTAGTTAATGTGATTGATAAAAAAAAAGGGTGATAATGAACCAAAGGTCTCGATAATTGAGCTATGTGATTGGCCGCTTTACATTATGAATGGTTGGGTTAAGTAGTTTAGATTTGAATGTAATTTGATTAGTTCAAATATGTTGTAAAAGGGCATAAGCTCTTCTCTTTATTTCAAGTATTCCTTTTTGTTTATTTGTATGCAAATTGGAATAGTTGGGTCCAACGCCCAATAGGCCCAACACAAGGCTCATGTTTGATTAAATCAAATGGTTCACAATCATCCTAAGACTTAAAATGACTATATAGTCCATATGACAATGCTATGCATTCGTTAGTAGTTCCATATAGTCTCGCTTATTTCATCGAAATAGTGAGATTATTATATATTACTAATTCATATAAACTTAGACCAATGGTAGTGATAGGCCCAATTTCTTTTAAAAAGATTAAAATGAAATTGATGTAGCCTAACACTACCCCCATAACAAACAAATATTAAGTTGATAAGCGAGAGATGCTTTGAACATCTCTTCGTGGGCCTTCCACCGTGGTAGACTCTAATCATTTATGACTCATACACCGACTTCACCCTATCATGAGGAAGTTCAAAGTATGTGCTTACATTTAGGAAGAGTCCATATGTACATACATGATGTGGTGAGGTAGGCAACAAGGATGACCAACATTATATCATTGTGAGGCTATTCTTGAACCCCTACATGAACTAGCATGGTAGGAATGACTTAACTAAGTGCAATGGTGTCAACATTATATCATTGTGAGGCATCATTCTCTAAAGGCCAAACTAGATGGGTAATTACAAGAGTTGTAAATGACTAAAAAGTTATTCTCTCATCATTATTGTTGCTAACCAATATCATATAATTATGAGGTGGGCTTGGTAATGGTGAGTCTCCCATACCCCGCTAAGAGTTCAACATAACTCTCGGATTCCATTGAGGGATGTGGAATTTGCCAAAAATAGTGGGTGGTACTATTTGATTTAAGACTCAATCAAGTAGTTTTTTAAATCAACAATCTAATACGATTTATGTTATGTTATTTAGTTAACGACATGCCTAAAATTACACATGCCATTATACTTGACAAAAAGAGCCTTAGGGGCCAACGTTTCCTTGCTTGGTATCATCACATTGAGAATGTCTCAAAGATGAATGACATATGGTATGTGCTCAAGCAATCCCCTCCTCATGTACCACCTACGAAACTAGCTTCAAAGGAGGAGTGTCAAAATTATACTAGACACTATGAGGATGACTTACAAGCCAAATGCTTAATCTTCATTTCACTTAATGAGGAGCTTAAGAAGCTACATAAGCACATGGACACTTCTTGTGCCATGGTTAATAGTTTGCATAACATGCATGATGTTGAGACTAATAATCTATGATTCTCAAATGTTTGTAGTCTATTGAATGCGAAAATGGCAAAGGGACATCATTCCAAAAACATGGACAAAAGATGGAAAGGATCTTTCAAGATTTTGAGAGTTTAGGTACTTCCATCGATGGGAAAATGGCCTAAGACTTTTCCTTGCATCTCTCTAAGATGATTTTACTAAGTTTATAATAAACTATAAAGTGAATAGATTCGATCATACTTTTTCAAAGATGATTGACCTGTACTGTGAATTTGAACAAAGTTTCAGAAAGGATAGTGGGACTAAGAATGCAATCACAAGGAAAAGGTTGCATAAGAAGAAGGCAAGAGAATCCAAAGGAACATGTTTTTCATTATGGAAAGGATGAACGTTGGAAGAAGAAATATAGGGTGCGCATTACGAGCCTTATGATGCGAACTTTTGAAGGGACTATTTCTATCATAGATAGTGCTTTTACAGTAAGCTCCAATTCCTGGATATTTGATTCATACGCTAGTTAACATACCTGCAATTCGTTGCAAGGACTAACAGGGAGTAGGACATTGCGCAATGGGGAGATGATTGTGCTAGTTGGGAATGACACTAAGATCTCTGCAAAAGCAGTAGGCACCTACGTGCTTAAACTACACTCTGGGGAAGTCTTGGAACTTAAAAATTATTTATATTTTCGTTCATGTATAAAGAATTTGATTTCCATCTCTATGCTGTTACGAGATAGACACTTAGTATTGTTTGACAAAATGAGTTGCACTTAATACTTGAACGGTCGTATAATCTCTCATGGTAATATGATAGAGGGACTTTTTCACCTAGAGACAAGTAGTGGGCTACGCTGTATTGAAAGCGGGAATACCTTAAAACCCAAAAAGGCTAGAAAAGAAGTTAACCAAGAAAAGATGTGGCATCTTAAACTTGGACATGTGAACCTTGATAAGATTCGCAAGATGTTGAAAGACGGATATTTCCGCACATTAGGTAATGACCAAATGGGTACTTGTGAATGTTGCTTGAAAGGGAAGATGACTAAATCTCCTTTCACTGGGAAGGGAGAGCGTGCCACTAAAATTCTAGGGTTAATCCACACTGACGTATGTGAACCTATGTCTACTATGTCGAGAGGAGGCTTCTCCTACTATATCACATTCATTGACGATCACTCTCGATTTGGCTATGTGTATCTTATGAAGTACAAGTCAGAATCCTTTGAAAAGTTCAAAGAATTCAAGAATGAAGTTGGGAAGCAAACTGGGAAGCAGATAAAGATCCTAAGATCAAATCGAGGGGAGAGTATCTAAGTAACGAGTTCCTAGATTATCTCAAATAGTGTGGCATACTATCACAGTAGACTCCACCGAGAACTCCATAACTTAATGGAGTTTCTGAAGGGAGAAATCGAGCCTTGATGAACATGGTTTGTTCTATGATGAGTTCCGCCGGTCTACCAATAACATTCTAGGGATATGCTTTATATACAGCAGCTTACTTACTTAATAGAGTACCTTCCAAGTCAGTTTCACAAACGCCCTATGAGATATGACATGGAAGAAAGCCAAGTCTTAATCATATTAAGATTTGGGGTTGTGAAGCATATGTCAAGAGCTTGA